TCACCAAAGAAATAAGTTTTCTGAGGTTTGGTATTAAGTGTTAGATTTTTACTTAAACTTATGAAATATATTTAATATCCAATTTTTGTAGGGTTAAGGATATGGTAACAATTCTTGAAGGTTCCTTCAAATATTTTTTAATTTTATTCCTGATTTAATCAAGAAAACTTTTTAAACCTCCTGCATTATAACACTGTTAAGACTCTACCTTACTGGATAAGTGTATCGATAAATTATTAGTATTATTTAACTCTAAAGTGAAAGATATTCATAATTCCTAAGAAAGTTCATTTTTAAAGAATTTCTTCAATCTCAAAATACTACTGGGTGCTATTAAAGAAATTCAAATTCTGGCAAGCATTTTAACTAATCAGACTCCATATTCTCATATTCTTTTGTGTTATAACAATTGTATTAAATTCATCAGGTTTAAAAATTCAGATTAGTTATGTGCTTTAGCTCTTTAATAATATAGTAATTTTTGTGCTAATATTAAATTATTCTTTATTTTTCAGTCTAGTCACAAGCTGACCAGATTTAATTAATGTTTTTATTCACTTATTTATTTTTAGAAGTTACATGCACACAATCCAATATACAGATGATGTATTATAGAGGATGTACACTGGAAACATAATTTTATTAACCAATGTCACCCCAATAAATTCATTGAAATTTTAAAACATTATTAAAAAGTTATCAAAAAATGTTATATAAAGATTTACAAATGGAATTTATTTTATTTTGGAATTCTTTCTGTAGAGTACAGTGTTCTTTAAAAACAAATGCCACTCACCGCTGTGTAAAGCATGTGATCCGCCACTTTGCTCTACACCTGAGACAAATGCAGAACGGCACTGAATGTGAACTGTGGTTGAAAAAATGCCATTCATTTGCCCTTAAAATTTGAAAGCATGTATAAAACTGTTGCTCATTTACAAAATGGGAAACTTCAAGGAATGTGTTTACTGAAAGCCACTGGACATCAGGGTATTTACTTTTACAAGTAAAATGAAAATGTTACTATGTTACAATGAACTTTGTGTGCATCTACTCCAAGAGATGGCCAGTTATGTCACATGGTGCGGGTTATCTGGTTATTTTTCATTCTCATAAAGAAAACATAGATACAGGTTAACATCTGTTTTCTTAGTTTGAAAAAAAAACTTCTTTGGCATTTTAGTATAATTTCTAGCAACTTTTTGGTCATATTTGTATACATTTTTTCACCACTTTAAAAAAGAGGGTTTTAAATCACTTTATTTTTCTTTGAAAATTTCTGACATGTTCTCTTCGAGTAGCAATTTTCAACCTTTTTTAATCTCTTGGTACACATAAACTAACTAATAAAATTGTTTGGCACACTAAAAATATATTTTTGACTATCTGACAAAAATTAGTTATAATTTTGATTCATTCATACCAGATGGCTATTGTGTTGGCTGTTTTCAGTTTGTTTGTTTTTATTTGACAATTTAAAGAAAAAGAATCAATGATCCTGATCAAATAGTCAGGTATTTGCATGTTTTTAAAATTCAGGTAGCCCTGGCTGGCGTAGCTCAGTGGATTGAGCACGGGCTGCGAACCAACGTGTTGCAGGTTCGATTCCCAGCCAGGGTACATGTCTGGGTTGCAGGCCATAACCCCCAGCAACCGCACATTGATGTCTCTCTCTCTATCTCTTTCTTTCTCTCTCTCTCTCTCTCTCCCCCCACCTCCCTTCCCTCTCTAAAAATAAATAAATAAAATCTTAAAAAAAAAATTCAGGTAGCACACCAGTGTGACTGCTGCAGCACATCAGTTAAAATTGCTGTCTTAAAGCAATAACACATTTTGGAGAGAGAAATAGAGGAGAGAGGAAGTCAGGGAAGGATTGAGAGGGAGAGGTGGAAAGATTAACATCATTTTCCTGGTTCTTTGTTTTTAAAGATTTTATTTATCCATTTCTAGACAGAGGAGAAGGGAGGGAGAAACAGAAGGAGAGAAACATCAATGTGTGGTTGTCTCTCGAATGGCCCCAACTGGGGGACCTGGCCTGCTACCTATGCATGTGCCCCTGTTACAGGGTACAGCCAAGAGCGGGGACTCCAAATGGGCATTTGAAATGGGGTCCAGAACTCAAGGTGTCCAAGAGATTTTAAGATGCCTTCACCCCTTCCCCCACAGGTGTGAGTTGGGGGCAGGGGCACATGGAGCAAGAACTTGCAGGGCTGTTTTGTACAGCAACAGCTTTACAGCTAATCCATGGCATGGTCATTTAACATACCTATAGCCTTTGGCTGGTCACTTAGATATGCTAAATAGCTATGGCCATTGGGATGGAAAGGGACCCCCTCAAGATGTGACTGGAGGGCAGGTCCCCCGAGTTACAACGCCTATGTGGGAGCTTGGAGAAGATTGGCTCCATGACATGGGGCCACACCTGCCCAGACCCACGATGGCAGCCAGAAAAGCTGGAAAGGATGGGAGATTGATGGCAAGTATGGCCAAGTGTGGGAGGAATTGGAAACAGGGCTGCAGGGGAAGATTGGCGTGGGGATTTAAACCCAGACACGCCAGCCATTGGAGAGAGAACCACACCATTTTGGTTTTGGCTGAGTGAGGACTCCCGTGGCCCTGGGGGAAAGAGGACCATGCGCCTTTGCCAGAGTGGGGACCCCCACAGCTTTAGAAGGGGGAACCACCACCTGGCTTTAGCAGAGATCCCGGCGACACAGCTGAGGGTGCCAGGAACCCAGGGAGGTCTCCCAGCCAAGATGGATTACTGGGAAGAACCAGGGGCTGCCTGAGCCATGGACTTCTATTTCCCTTTCCTGATATATGGTACCCCAGACTGGGCAAAGGGGGAAGGAAGGACTGTGTGTGTTTGTGGGTGTTTTAAGGGACTTTAGGATTTTGATGAAGACATTAGGTCACTAATTTAAGTCTGTATAGCATTAAATAAACATTTCCTTTCCTTTTCACGAATCTCTGGCACTGAGAGATGTCTTTCCTATAGACAGTGGACATAACGGACCTGGGGGTTCCTTTCGGTAATAGTATATCGTCCCAGGTCCTCCTTGTTGTTTGGTAACACCCCTGACTGGGAGTAGAACCAGTGACCCTTCAGTTCACAGTCTGGTGCTCAATCCACTGAACTACACTGGCCAGGGCCATTTTCCTGGTTCTTAAGCAGCACGTTATTTATAGTTTTTAAACTGATAGTTATGCTAGTGCTCATTTAATGTGATAAATGCAAGAAATTAATATCCCAGTAAGTATGAGTTAGACTTTTCAAAAAATAAACTATTAAAAGCATCTAATAGCTACAAGGTAAAGCAGGGGACCCCCCAAAAACCAGAATTGTTTTCTGGAGTGTGGGTCTCTTGTATAGTACAGGCTTCCTTTGGTATGTGAGTATTCCTCGAACCCATCTGTATCAGTGTACCAGCTGGTGTTGTTATGAGAGGCTGCATTCGGCTTCCACGTATTTTTTATGAAGACTCTTTCATTTGCCCATTTCCTGATGCGTTATTTACATGTGCATGCTGAGTGTTCAGCGATTTTTGACCAAAAACAACACAGTCTCCATATCTCACCCTCCCTATTCACCTGATCTTGCCCTGAGCAACTTTGTTTTCTTTCCCTGGATGAAAAAAAAGCTATCAAAGGGAAACGTTTTCTTAGTGTGGAAGAGGTGAGACACAAAGCAGCCAAGCACTGAAAGGCATCAAAATGGATCAGTTCAAAAACTGTTTTGAGCAGTGGAAGAAACGTCTCGATGAGTAAATTATATCAAACAGGCTACTTTGGTGGTGACTGAAGTTTAAACATGTAAGAAACAATACACCATTTTTTATAAATAAGTTCCATTTTTTTGGTCCCCCCTCATATGTTTATCAAGACCAAAATGGAAATTAGTCATTTTTTATTAATAACATTAATTGTTTTTTATTTACATAAATTATTAGCTACTATTTGGGATTTTACTTCACAATGGCTGAAGTTGGTTTTCTTGCTTCTCTTTCATAACAAAGCTCCTTTAGTGAATTGAATAGGTGATCACACTCTGTTGTTGCCAACTGAATTTTTTACATAAGCATTAAATATATTATAGATAATTATATCACTTATTAGACTCAAAGATATGATATATATTATTTGTCTTCTGTACTTATTTAAGAAAATTAAGACCCACTTAAGAAAGGCTGAAGATGAAAAATATTAATAGAGATTTTTTTCCACCAGGAAATGTAAGAATGAAATCATGGAGTGAATGTGTTCATTTTTTAAACAAAACATTTACTACCTTTTGAAGAGCAAATTTGTTAAAATAATTAAGTTCAAAAATTATAACTTTCACAATTTTTATGCTCATTTACAATGGTCTATTAACTGGACTGGCATCTGTATGAAATTTTAAACACCTCACAAGCAGAAAGTTTCTTCATAATATTACTTTCAGCAGGCAAATACCTAACACATTCCTTTTCCATTACTTGGAGTGGAAATACAATTTCAATATATCCAAAAATCATCTGACCAGTGTTTTCCAAGTACTTTAAATCTCTCTTTATTTCCTGTGAAATCTTATAGATGATACATAAGAGATAAAGGATTTAAAGATGAATAAGAAGCACAGACAGCAATTACAGACAAAATCAGCGGTGTTATTTTAATTATTCCCTTCATCTTAAATCTTAACGGATAAGATTAAGTTTCTGTGATGCTTGTTGGTACTATACAGATTCCAATATTAAAACTGTGTCATGGTGCCCTGGCTGGTGTAGCTCAGTGGATCGAGTGCGGGCTGTGAACCAAAGAGTCGCAGGTTTGATTCCCGGTCAGGACACATGCCTCGGTTGCAGGCCACAGCCCCCAGCAACCGCACATTGATGTTTCTCTCTCTCTCTCTTTCTCCCTCCCTTCCCTCTATGAAAATAAATAAATAAAATCTTAAAAAAAACTGTGTCATGGTATGATACAGCAGGTGTATTACATATAGATCTAAAATTATATACCTTTGTTGTTATCCATTCCTCCTACAGCATACAGAGTTCCGACTGTGGATTTTCTAGGTTTAGTTCTTGGACTTTGCATTAATGTTCTTCTTTCTGGCAATAGATGATATTTCATTGCTTCCAGAATCAACTTTTGACATTCCAGATCATTCTTAAATAATGCATGGTTTTCTAGGTCAGCCAATATCTGTAAATAACAGATAATCACTGTTAATAATGTTTTATAAAAATAAACATATGATAACAGTAGTTAAAATTAGAAGCTTAAAGTCTATGATATTACTCCTTTATTGACAGGTTTACATAATGAAATAAGAACTAATTATATTGACAAATAAATATAAGTAAAATGCATGCCTCCTAAGAAAACCAGAATAGAAAGTATTTTCAATGCAATATTATTTTTTTTTAAAGATTTTATTTATTTATTTTTAGGGAGGGAAGAGAGGGGGGAGAGAGAGAGAGAGACATCAATGTGAAGAGTGGGGGGAGAGAGAGAGAGAGAGAGACATCAATGTGCGGTTGCTGGGGGTTATGGCCTGCAACCCAGGAATGTATCCTGGCTGGGAATCGAACCTGGGACACTTTGGTTCCCAGCCCGTGCTCAATCCACTGAGCTACACCAGCCAGGGCTTCAATGCAATATTATTTATCATTTTACTACATATAGTATAAAGGAACTTCTAGAGATCATTTTTTTCTTTTTTCTCTTATGAAAGTAGTTTATAAATCAAATATAGTTACCTATGTTGGCCATAAACATGTCAGATGAAGAAAATTAAAAAGTAACCTTCAACAAATTAGGTCATAAGCCTGTCAGAAACACAGGGTAAGGCTAAAGTAGGTTTATAGTTAGTATAGGAAATAACACTCAATAGATAATAATCCAATAATAAACTATTTCATATACTTACAACTGTAAACCTACTTTTACCCACCCTGTATTTATGTACTTACTTTAAGATCTTCTAGATGCAGTTTAAGTGCTTTCAGATTAGAAAAAAAAAAAAACTCAATAAAAATGAAAGCAAGGCAAAGAAAGAGTTCCCAATAATGAAACCAAGGATTTTTCTTTCCAAACTCCAGTCAGTACCTGAGACGACAATAGTGTCAGAGTAACCATTTGAAGCTACAGTGTGTCTCTTTTGGCTATATCAGCTTTTCCTCCCCACAAATTCTCGTGTGTGCATTTCTTTAAACACACCTATAGTGTGCTTTATTTTCTTCTTCCTCTGTTGCTGTTTACATTCTCTTTTTTCTCGATTCCTTCTGCATCACGTTCTCATTCTTAATGAATCAATGTGTCATTTTTAGTGACAGAAATCTGTCACAGAGATTTAGAAAATGAATAACTAATAAAAGAAAACTCAACATTGGCTCACTGACATTTCTCCTACATCGGTAAGAAATTGTACCACATTTGAATGCTAATGTATATTGAGTGAGTAAATTATTATATGATGGCAGCACATAATTAAATAATTAATTTTAATGCTATAATTTTAACCTTAATTAAGTAAATTTACTTAGACATTGTAATACATAAACCACTGTTGGAGGTACCAGAAAAATATATAAGAAACATATAAGTTGTGGGAAAAATAAAAGGAATTACTCTGAGACTGAACAGAAACATAGTACATTAGAGTTAAAAGATGCTTAGAATATGGAAGGGAAGATGTTTAATGAAGTCCAGACTATGTTTTCCTTCCTGTATACTAAGCTAAGTTGCATTCCTACTCATTTTTATTCTGAATACTAAATAAAAAAAATAGACAAAGATGCAGGGATTAAGAAAAAAATAACTCAGACACAGACAGCAGTATAGTGATTACCAGAGGGAAACGGGGGATGGGGTGATGCAGAAAAGGGTAAAGGGGGAATTAACGGTGATAGAAGGAGACTTGACTTGGCATAATGAATGCAAAACACAGTACAGAGATGATGTATTATAGAGCTCTACATCTGAACACTACATAATTTTTTTAACCACTACCTCAATAACTCAATAAAATTCTTTTAAAAACTTTCCAAAACAGAAAAAGACAAGAAAAGATAGGATGGAATAGGATAAGGACTCTCCAGTGGACTAATGTTAGAGAATAGTGGAAATTGATAGAGAATATCAATTTCCAACAAGGACCCAGTGGTCTTTATAAATTTTAAAAAATGTTACAGAGAGACATATATTCTTTAAAATGGCTTTTGGGTATTTGCATGTCAAAATACAAAATTCTTAGATTTTCTTAAATCTAAGTACTTTTCTTTCCTTAAAAAGAAAAATAATGGGCCTTTACAATGACGCATTTATATATGTTTGAAGTTGGCTCCCATCAATTCACTTTATTTTCTTTCTCTATTTTTCAACTTTTATGGGAAATTTTGGGATTAGTTGATCATAAGAAAAAGAACAAAAAAAAACCCTCTTCTATTATTAGGAGCACACTCTAGAAATATCCAAGTAAATGGTTAACAAATTCTAAATAAAAGAGAAAAGTTAGAAAAAATACAAAGATATGTGCTTCTCCATGTTTTTCCTTGTAAAACTAACTCACAATCAAAATGCTTCACTGGGAATTTGGGTAATGACTTAAGTTTTAGATAAACAGATTCATGACAGCTGTCAATATCTTTAAATTTTGATATATGAACACAGAGGGTCATTTACAATAATATAATTTTATATACTATTCTTGATATTTAGATAACTCTTTAACTAATTAGATTTGAATAGTTTTAGCTTAAAATGAACTATATGCCTGATATTATTGTCCACGAAAAATTTTAGCACAATATTTTAATAAATATAACAAATTTATTTCTCAATGTTTTAAGCTTTAGAAAACGTATATGTTAGTTGTATGGATTCAATAAGCAATAATTAATTTAATACATAGTTTATGAATACAAAAATACATAACTGTTTAAATGAAAGTTCACTAAAGTAATTCTTCTATAATGTTTTCATCTTGTGACTTCTTGTAGTGCTACACACAAAAAAAAAAACATTGTGTTGGCTTACATTATAAGTTTTACTTCCTTGGACAGCTTTAAGATTATAGGCTAATATTAAATTGATTAATTATTAATAATTTTTGGATTATAAGTTAAAAATTTACTAACATTAGTCACTAAAATATTTCTAAATTTCTCTCATTTCTTATATCTATATAAACATAAATAAACAGAATATGCAACATATTTTAAATGTTAGTTTATATGATAAAATTTTTCGAAATGAAATAAAATGTATTTTCTTTTACAAAAAAATAGGATTTGTTTTCCTGTGTCTAGTTTCCTGTGGCTGAAAAACGAATGTTATTCAAGCTAAATTGTACCATTAATACAAAAAAAAAACCCCAGAGAACTAAGAATATGCATATAAGATAAAATATTATTGTTCGTTTCTTAAGAAAGATGTTATGTTTTAATAAATTCAATAACATGACACATGTATTCAAGATAAAACTAAAGTTCTTTATTTCAATGTCTCTGGTTGTATTTTGCTCGCTCATTTGTTTTACTGATTAGGTTCTGCTTATAGGTGAGATCATATGGTGTTTGTCTTTCACTGCCTGGCTTATTTCACTTAGGATAATGCTTTCCTTATGGAAAGTATTATGGGCTCGAGGGTGGGAGGCAGGGATGGGTGGGGCAGAGGGTGCATGCTGGGGTGCAAATGGAGACAACTGTACTTGAACAACAATAAAATAATAAAATACTTGAACAACTTGTACTTGAACAACAATAAGTAAAAAAATAAAAATAAAGTAAAATACATTAATTTTAGGATACATTTATATAGCTAAACATACATGTGTCTAAACACATACATGCAAAGATATATAAGCATTACTTCAAATTTTATATAATTTATAAGTATTTATAAAAAAATATAAGATATCCTGTAAAAATAAAGTATCAGAGTACAGTCACCTGTAAGTACCTAGGTTTGTAATACTTTCAAGTAATGTTTAAAGAAAAATTAATTGCTCTATCCCCACAGAAGTATGCTTAATGAAAATATATTAGAAATTATTTATTTCAAAGTATGGCAGGGAAGATATACAAGTTGAAATTTCAATATTTGTATAAATGACCAAGGTATTGTATATTAAAGTAATATTTTTCATTTTACTAAGAAACCATTGTGTAATAAGTAAACAATGTCATACTCCTAATCATTTCGCCAAGTTCTTTATTTTGAAAGATATTGAATTCTTCATAAGGACTGTTACTTATTATTATGTGATTTCAAGTTATTACTTGTGTATATGTCTTGCTCATAATTCTATGATTTGTATCTGTATTTCATCTATCTGACAACATTTTTAGGATTATTTTTCCATCCCAAAGTAATGCACACATTCAAAATAATATAAAGGTTAAGCTGACTTTTAAATTTGTCTTTAGATTTTCTGTATGATCCAAGATTAACACAAATGTTGCTCCTGCTTATATACAATGAGAGGCAGTTTTGCTTTTTTAATTATTTATTTTTTAATACAACCAAAACTATTATGACAGTTTTTCTGCTTATCAAACTTAGGAAAATATTAATGTTTCAATATTTATGTTATCAATATGGGTATATCAAATATATATAAACATAATATGCAATATGTAAGTAGTATACTATTTAAAAATATACTCAAGTTTATTGTACATGTATTTGTGCAATAGTTGTCTACAAACTATATTTTGTTTTTAAGATCCTACATAAGAATACCCTGTGCAATCAGTGATAATCATAGTATAATTTAGCTTACCAAGAAAATTGCCCTTGGAAGTTTCTCAATATTTTTATTGTTACTATGTTCTTAAACTTAGACTAATCATCAAATACGTCCTTATAAATTATTTGTATATTAAGCCTAAAGAAAAGATTCCACCATCTATCAACCAATAATGGTTCAGAATATTTTTCCAGCTAGAAGATATATCAGGAATAAAAATATACTGAGACTCATTATGAGGGGTAGCATAAGGTATATTAACAATTAAAATTACTTACAATTCTAAGAGGTAGATTCTTGGCAACCTCTTAGAAACCTTGGTAGATTTTTTTTTTTACCTAATAATGACTAGTGAGTTATGGAGTAAACCTGTAGCTTCAGAATAGAACAAGGTCAAGAAACTCATTTGAGAATACTGTATATGATATTTAGCATTGACTAATACAAGAAA